TGTACGCACTAAGCCGATTGTTCCGTTAAGCGGGGCGGTATTAATCCAATGAAAATAAAACACTTTTCGTTCGTAAAGGCAGCACACTCCGCACAAACAACATGCGAACATATACAGACAGACTGCAATTAAACAGGGTTGCCATGCTGTGTCAAACGCGCACAGCAGCAGAAGCACTGTTCGCACTTTTCATTGATGTACATTGTTTGCTATTTTTCAGCTTATCTGCATAGAATTCACTTGCTTAGCCCTTTTCAATATTTTTCAGTTGTACAGCCAATATATTTTTTATGATTTGCTCTGGAGGCGGCAACTCTGTTCGGCGATACGGGCACATACATAGAAACCAGCGAGTGGCCAAATCACACACACACACTCACACAATCACACGCGCGCAGCGCAAAAGAAAAATTATACTGTGTCCTATACAAAAAATAAACAAAAGCAATTAAAAAAAAGCGAGATAATGGCAGTACCAGTTTTATGCCCCGGATAAGCACGTTTTATGGCAAGATATTTCTATGTTTTGCACTTAAATTTCTGATACATTTTTTACAGTTTCTTCGTTTTCGCCACCGAAAAGTGGGTAAATTATTTTGTGTAACTTTTCGCCCGTATAAAATTGCCTGTTTCTGCCGACCGACCGCGAAGTGTCTGACATTCGTGTATGTGTTGGGCAGCTTTGGCGGCGGCGCTCTCTCGCTCTCTCACACGCACACACACACACATTCACAAACACGGCAGCGGCTCTCTCTCTCCGGCTCTACTACACGCGCACTCGCTGTACAAACGCGGCTTGTAAATGGCGTTCTCGCCTCAAATATTTTTGCAACAATTTCTGCACGCCGATTTTCACCTCGGTAGCACTTGGTATCCTCGCCGATTGGGGCAGCTGGCAATTGGGTGGCTTTTGGGGCATCGGCACGGCCCGTTTCTATTTATAATTTCCTATTTTCCTATCCGCGACACACAGACCGCGTCGGTCTCAGGTATGCAATTTGCGCTATCGCCTATCGATGTGTCGAGGGGCTGTTATCGCGGGCCACTCGCTTCGGCGGCGCAGTGTTGCAAGGCCCAGTGTTGGAAAGTGCGGGCGTTGCACGTGTAATCGAACTAGTTACACTCTGCGAAATAATTAGGTTAATTTTTTATGCACATATATTTTTAAATCTTAATATTTACAATAAGGAACGATGGCAAAAATAATAAATTAATAGTTTTGGTGATAGAAGTCATTTTAAGTCATGATATAGAATAAAGAAGTGGAATAAAATTCCGCAATAAATAATAAACTTAGTTCTATATATGTTATTTTAGTGTAGTTGGCGCGCATTTTAAAATAAATAAATCATTATCATGTAATTTAGGCCGATTTGCTGATTTTAATCTTGTAACCGTTAAGGATATTTTCATTTTAAATAATTTATTATTATTAAATAATTTTATTTCAAATTTAAATAAATGAATGATATTAAAATTATTATTTTTAGTAAACTAAAATTAATTTCATTTAATTCATTGCCAATTAATTCATGGCCAAAATAAATAGGATTGTAAATGGCCATTTTAAAAGTGGATCTTTTTTACTTGTAATTTCCTAATTGGTATTATCAACAAGGTATTTCAGTAAACTAAAATAAATTTCAATTAATTCATCACCAAATTAAATGGGATTTTAAATGGCCATTTTAAAAGTGGATCTTTATTAATTGATATTTCCTAATTGGTATCAAGGATTCCAATTGCCACCAACTAAGGTACTTAAATGCTTCCCAAAATACCAATAAATAAATTGTGGTGATGTTCGCTTAAATTGGTTTATATATGTTTTAATTGTTTTGCTAATTGCTTTTTTTAATTTTGCTATTTTGTTGCCATCACAGTTGGGCTATCACAGATGCGTTGTTGGTTGGTTCTTCCATTACCACTCCACCTTCACCTTCCTGCCACTTAACCCCTTCTTTTTACCAAGGGCGCCACACGGGCTGCTGCATGGGCTGTGGTGAGGGGGCGGGGCTGTCGCAGTCGCTGTGATATCCGGATGAGGCGGGGCTGAGCGGAGCCTTGTCCATTGAGGAGCAGTCCATCGTGTTCTGGATGAAGTCGGTGGCGGACTGTGCTTCGTGGAACTGCTGCAAGTTCTTGTAGACGCGTCCCAGGTGAGTCATCACCGATTTGCCCAGGTCGACGCTCATGCCAGGTGTGGAGGCCATGACACGTGACACCTCGTTGACGGCATTCATGTAGCCATTCTTGAAGCTGTCCAGGGGGAGGGATTGCTCTTCCTGAGACACCTTCTTTGTTGTCTTTTGCTGGCGCATGAAGATCACAGCTGACTCGAGCATCTCGGCCTTGTCCATGCGCAGGATGCCATCATCACCTCGCAGCTCGGCGACAAGTGTTTTCAGATTGTCCAGGCACTTGTTCATGCGGGCACGTCGCTGGCGCTCCAGCATTGGCTTCTTCACCTTCTGGTAGATCTGGGTCTTGGTGGTGTATTCCATTTTTGTTTTGGTAGTAGGTTACGTAGTTTCAAAAAATTTGTTGAAAAATTTTGTAATCGGCTTGTTGTTGCCTGCTCGACGGCGTAATCGTGAGTGATATTCTGCTCGCCGAGGTCCCGTCCTTTTATACCGCTCCCTGGTCCCTGAAATCCACCCTCTGATACGCACCTTTCCTGCCCTCTCTTTCGCTCGCACGGCTGAGTGCCGCTGGTGCCGTCTCTTTCACAAGGAACAGCTGCAACTTCGTAGGACGGAGGACAATCCTTGTGGCTCGTGGCGTGGGAACCGAGCTGAAAGTAAGTTTCTCACACAATTTTTTCTCGTTTGTTTTCCCTTTTGGCCACATGCTTCGCTCCGCTCCGCTTCTCATTTTTTTTCGAGTTTAAGGATCAGGGCACATTTTTGCAGCTGTCGCTGTTTTTGGCTGCTCGCATTGCTTTCTGGGCCGGTGTTATTATCCTTAATGCATACTTCACTGCCTCATCCTGTCGTGTTTGGAATGGGAACGTTCATATATGGGTACATGGCATCGAAGGATGATGAGCAGGGGCAGGGGAGCCGATCTGGTTGTGCGTGGGCTGCTCTGGCATTGTTATCCTGCCGTGCCATCTACTCGCTTATTGTTTCATCAATGCCAGCAGACGATGATTGTATAAGCCCCTACTCCTGCTCCGACCTCCGAACTGCGAACTCCGAGATCTCCTCTTTCCGTTCCCACACTGCCCCGTCGACGAGTGTTTATTGGACACAATTAGTGGATGTGGCATATTGGCTCCGTGCCGGGTCGCCTTGGTTGTTCGATCGTTCCATCGTTTGGGCTGTCTGATCTCGGTTTTGGGTGGTTGGCAGGGGGACGTGGGTCAAACGGGCGCAGAAAGTGTGCCCCGCGTGCCACTCTCGTGGCTGAGGTTGAGTACTCAATGCCCAGGGTGAGGTGAAGTGGGCCTTGTGCCGGAATGCCTACCTATGGGATGCACAGACTTGACTCCCTGCAACCCCCTAATTGGTAATTAGTAATTTTTCACCGTTTAATTGATGTTCACTTTTCGAATAGCTTGTTGTCAAACCTTATATGCTAGTGATGTTGGTTGATTGAATGTGTGAGTCAGCCTAATAAGAAGTAATATTTTATTGATTGTTGAAGTTATCCAAGGATTCAAAGGTTCTTTGATTTGAATGGCCCACAATACAAAAGTTTTATTTAGTTATTCAATGGGAACTTATAATGTGTTGACATATTTTTCTAAGCTCATTATTAATTAGCTAATTAGACATTTTAATAATCTTGGGTTAAGCATGCACTTAAGTGAAAGCGTAATGGGATTTTCTTGAGTAAGTTTCACTTTCAAATTAACTTTTTATTACAGAAAAAAGTTATGTTTATGTCTAATAGGAAACTAATTGAACTCTGACTTCAATGCCTACCTATGGGATTTGTGTCCCTAACCTTGCAATCGCCTAGGATATGGTACTTCCTCACTTACTAATTGAGATGGATTTGTATATCTCCCTAACAAATCTTGAGGGGTCTTAATATTGACATTTAATGGGTGGAAAATAACGTCATTGATTATTGTAATGGGTAGGGATGCTTTCACTTCTTACAGTATTTTGGGTCATAGGTCAATATTGTAATAGGAGGTATTGAATGCTTATGATGTCACGTACTGCTCTTGCAACCCCCAATAGGTGATGCAATTTGATTGATTAATTGTAAAAGGAATCACTTAGAGGTATTAAAAATAACAGCGTTTATTGTACGATAAGTAATCCAGATGTGTGCTGGACCTCATATCTTTCTTGACCATTCTTATTGACCTTTTATTGGTAGATATCTTATAATGCGGCATTTGGGGTTTCTAACAATGTATTGTATTATGATGTAGGGTGTCAAATACATCACAATATATTGATTTGCCTTTAATAGAATATTAATAAATACATTGTGCGATTGCAAAGTAACATTCCTGTTAAAAATATAATATAGTTTCGTATTATATTATTAAATGCACGTTTAGCAACTGAGTGCACATTAGGGGTTCATGTTTTACTATTATATTTAACTTGTTATTGAAACTTGTTATTAATATATCTCGTTTAAGGTAATAATGGGCTTTAAGATAATGAACATAATTAATGGGAAGCCCATTCTTTTACACGTGTACTTAACTTGCTAGTGCACACGATAATTTTATAAAATTGGGCATTAAAATTCATTTATTCAAGAGGAATTATAGAAACTTCCTCCTATTGGAATTTAAAGGCATAAATTCAAGTTAAATATCCTTTATTGGATAGGGCTGTAAAATTGGAATTCCCCAAAAATTAGGACGATTGTTTAATTTCGTTTCATATTTTGATTTGTATTTAAGTTTTTTTTAATTTGTATCTTTTCATGTTGTGTTCTTGAGATCTCTTAGCTGGTAAACATTTGTATATATGTAGAGTAAAAAACAGACTTCTGCTCGATTGATTTAAGACAAAAGTTAATAAAGCGTGCCCTATCACAGACTTAACTTAGAAACCTAAAACTTGGTAACGTAACAAATAAATGAGGATCATTGTAAAGCATTTTTTCTAAAGCTGCGGTTCCAATTGCGTGATTGCCCGTCGGGAATTCAGTCCCTCGAACTGGATCTCTAGTTTACCAGGGGCGCCACACCTGTCCGGGGCTACTGATCTGGAGCAGGGACTCGTTATCGCTGGCATATCCACTGGAAACGGGACTGATCGAGGAGCAGGAGCTGGCACTGGAGTAGGAGCTGGAGCTCAAGCTGGATCCGCAGACGATACTGAGCGGAGTGTTGACTGCCTGCCGTTGTTCCATGGGCTGCTCCAGTTGGTTGAGACGCATGCCCAGATGGGTCATCAGTGTGGTTCCAAAAGCTACATCCACACGGGGAAGGGAGGCCAGGGCGCGGGACACTTCGTTGGCTGCACGGATGTATCCAGCACGGAAACTTTGCTCGGGATTGGCCGGCACTTGCTTCTTAGACTCTTTCAGCTTGCGGAGATGCTGCACGGTGACTTCCAGGATGTCGGCCTTCTCGAATTTGGCATCGCCAGTCTGGGCAACGCACTCGGCCATCAGATCCTTGAGCTCGTCCAGGCACTTGTTGATCCTGGCACGACGCTTCCGCTCCAGCAAAGGCTTCATCACCTTGCGGTACTGATAAGTTTTGGACATCTCGTATTTGGTGGCCATTTCGTTTGGTTTTGTTTATATTGTGTGTGTGTGTATCGGTAACTTGAAGAATGACCTGTTGAAGAACTTCTTCGATCTTTCGAGGAGGCTATCCTGAGATGTTGACTGCACGACGATTGCGTTGGAAATGTTGCATTCGTCTCCGGTTACCGCTGCTTTTATAGCTGCACGTGCCGTTGTGAGAGCGTCTCGTGCTCAGCGCACGCTGTTTGGAGAAAGAGAGAAGAGAGAGCTGTTTAGTCTCCGAAGAACCACCACCTGCGGAGCAAACTACTTTTACTCAGTCACTGGGACACGATCCTCTCGCCTGCATTTTCGGTGGTGGGTTTTTCTCCACAAACAAGTTTGGAACACACCTGGGGTGAAAACAGTATGAACTATTTTATTATTGCACCTTCACTTCTTTATGTTAATATTAAATTCTTTTACGGTTTTAGTGACTTACATTTAATAGCCTAGCAAAAGGTATTTTCTATATACCTTGAAAAGTACATTATATATACATATATCCAACATTATTTTAAATAATCTTCTTTTCAAGTATTTTGTTTTGTGAGCATTGTTGATCTAAAGAAATTAGCTAAGTTCACGTCTGAGTTTTTGAATATCCAAAAATTTTCTAGAACTTCAAAAATATTCTCTGTGCTATTGCTGTGACCCCAGGTGTTTGGTGTAAGTGAGTCTCGGCAGGGGATGAAGATGCGATGGTGCAGTGGTGGTGGTGCGACGGTGGTTGCACATGCTGCTTCTCTGTTTTCCTTTCCACCGACATTCGAATCGTGGGAAACACTTTGCCCTCAAGTTTCCCACAAGATTTTTCTCGCTTGTTGGTGTTATAAGTTATAATCGGAGGTAGCCCGTGTGCGAGTCCCGAGTCCGAGCTCCGAGTTCCGAGCCCTTATGCACATGGCACAGTGGGCCAAGCCGATGAAACACATGCGGGAATTTCGAGGGTGCCTTTTACTTGAATGAAGTCTTCAAGGCTTTTCCAACTAGGTGAAATTGAAGGTTTACGGATTTTACGCATCCTGTTATCTACTTGCTAGGCAAAGTTTTAGAAATTTTGTGTAGAGATCGTGAGAATGCGAAGTTGTGGGATGTCGGATATGGGGTTTTCCACGACGAAGATGTGTGCAATTTTGGGACTCGCAGGTTTGGAAAGCAGTACCTTACGGATTTTTGTTTGCCTGTTCTCAACTTGCTACGGTTAATTTCAGAACCTCTATTAAAAGTCGTGGGAATGTGAATTTTAGAATGCGATTCTTGGGGTTTTACCAAACGGAAGATGCGTGCAATTTTACGACTTGCGGGTTTTAGAGTAAGTGTTTATGGATTTTTCGATGTCTTCCTACTTGTAAAGAAATTTTTCCAAAACTATCTTCTGCATGGGAAAGGTACATTTGTTCCTAGGGGTTTTTCTAGGCGTATATGGTCGAAATATACGGACTTTTGTGGAAGGTGTTTTCTACTTGCTACGGATAATTTTGTGAGTTGTGACGGTGTGTGGGAACCTGAGTCTTGGAAAAAATTAAGGTTCGTGAAGGTTGCATTTTACAGGCTCTCTATTTTCGGGATAACTGTATCCAGATGGGTGTACTTACAAACTTTTGGGAAAGGTGTTCTGGGCAGGTTTTCATCTCTCAGTCATAAAGGAATTGACAAAAAATAAAAAAAACATGTTGTATTTTAAAATCGGGGGTTTAGTATTGGATTTTTACTCGACAAGCTAAAAGAATTTAGAGGTTGCAACCAAATTGACCCCTCATCTATTTTCAACCTATTTCTATTCGATTCGAACCACTGTAAATCTGACCGAGCTGCTAGTGCGAGTCACGGGTAGTGCTGAAAAAACTACCACCTGCCCTTTATTTTATTTAATTTTTTCTTGTCCATCGTGGGCCCTACACATATAGCCCTCTCGCTCGCTCCCGCTCTTGTCAATTATGAATGCTGAATTGTAGCTTCTGTTGAACACTTGGTCCCTGGATTTCGGTTCGTATGGGATCGAATCGGTTGGGTTCGTCCATCGCTAAGTGGCATACATATACGCGTATGGTATTCCTGCTCACGTCGGGACATCATCATCATCGTGGGACCCGGGCCCAGAAAAGGGATGATTGTTCGATGGATCGACGAGGGACATGCAAACTAAATGACTGTACGGCAAATTGACACACACTAAAGATTAAATGTATCGCATTCGTTAACTATATAAACAATATACGTGGCCGGTTTGAGGTACGCTGGCTGCGGCAGGAAGTGTGTGTGTGTGTGTGTGCACTGCGTGCTGAGAGTGTGCTGCACAACGGGCCGTTACAATTTTCTGGCGACTGTGAGAAAATTTCTCGAACTGCACATGGCCAGCTCCGGGCTCTTGTTGTTTTTTCCACTCTACCTTTTTCCACTTTTTATTAAGCAGGGGGCAAGCATTTGGGCACGCATCGGGGTTGGCTTATTGTCATTGCACCGCTTTAATCGCTGCTCCTGCTTCTCCTGCTGCTGGGCAGCCGATGTGCTGCCGTGTAATTGAATATGTGTGCGCATGCGTGGCACGCCAAACGCGCGACAGACGCGGGCAGCTTAAGACAAAAGCCAAAGGGCCCAACAGAAGCTTGCTGCGCGCCACGCATGCGCAATAAAATCGCATGAAATGCAAAAAAAAAAATTAACAAAAAAAAGAGTTAAATTTTTTTCAGGCCTGGAGCTTGAGAATCGGCGACAGGAAATTATCATTTTGTGCGGAATGACAGGGCGGCGATTATCATTTGCTGCGATTAGCTTTGATGCCCGGATATGCGGGGATGTTGTCAACTTAAGGGGGTTTGACTTTGATTTGCATTTGGCTTCGTTGGAACTTCAATTTACGAAAGTGTTTCGTTGTAATCTTAGCCTATTATGTCCCATTTGATGTATTACAAAGCGGTTGATTTAATAATTAGCTATCAATTAGCTACACAGTTGGGCTGCTGAGGGTTTTCTCCATTAACAAACTTCAATTAGTTAATGTCGGCAGGTGATTATAAAAAGCTAACAATCGATCTAATTAATGTTTGTTCAACGCATTTTTAAAGAGCTGTTTTAAGCCGCCTATAAGATTTGACGAAGTCATACGCTTGGAGATTGCCTTTTAGTTAGAATCTAATTGGATACCATTTCCGACTTAATAATAGTAATACAGCGACAATTTTAGTGGATTTCTTGTAAATATATTTTCTTATAAGCTAATAACATTTATACTACACTAACTGGCTTGAGTTCATATCACAAATGTATTAAATATTTATCATTGGCAGCCATTGGAGGCCTCCAACTGGAGAGGATGTCTGAGTGGCATCCTCCGGACCAGTTGGATACCTGTTGCTGGCACGCAATTCGATTCGCACGATCGTTCGTCAGCTCCATTCATTCATCGAATGATATGTTTTGTATTATTCATTCATCCATTCAGTCGCTTTGGTCGCATCTAACTACCGGTTTTAGACCCATGAAGTTGTGGCTTTGGCTGATGTTGCCGCTGTTGTCTTGCGATTGTTGTGCTGCATGCTGTTGTTGTCATCGATGCTTTGATTTCTTAAGATGTTGCTACTGTTGACACTGCTGCAATTGTTATAGTTTATGTGGCAGCTACTGTTTCGGCTGTTAATATTCTCGCTTTTTGACAAGGTGTTGTAGATTTTATTGGCCATGTTGCGGTTGCTTCGTGGTTTGCCGTTGCTGATGTTGCTGATCTTGCTGTTGTTGCAGTTGAACTTGTGGCTTTCTGAGGTGTAGCTGGTTGTCATTGCAATTATAATTGCAGTTGGGTGTTTCAACCAAGGCGTTCCCAATTGTATTGTTGGATTTAATGTTATAGTTATTGATGTTGAAGATGCTACTAATAGTAGTTATTGACGTTTGCCGCTTCATCTTTTGTAGTGTTACTCCTGTTGCAACTAACTATTTACTATAATTGCGGTTGTTGACATGAGAGCAATTTCGAAATCAGGTGTTTTGGTTCTCAGCAATGATTCTTTTCAGATTTCTCTGGCAGGTGGTGTTGCTCCAGCTCCTCCTTTTGCTGCTACTGGGAGTGCCAGTAGAAGCTGCCCGCTTCCGTCTCCAAGCAGATGACCAGGTGCTCCTCCAATCCCACTTGCGTTGCCCTCAACATCCTCTCGTTTGCCTGGTTCTGGGCAATCTCCTCCAGACTATCGTACCGCTGACTGTCGGCATGTGTGCTGTTTTTGCCAAATCGCTGCAGCATTTTGGCCAATAAGTTCTTTACTTTCGACATGGCTATGGCAAGAGTGCTGTATCACTTTACAGATAAGAGTTCTTAGCGCGTTGATTCTCAAATTGCAACTGTTGTGGGCTGATGGCAAGTGCCGCGCTTTTATAGCCCGCCAGATAACCACCACCCAAAAGCCCAACCACCCGAAACAACAAGTGCCACATGTGGCGGACACATGTCCAAACTCCGCGCAGGAGCAGCAGCAGCAGCAACATCATCCCAAGTATCTGCACAACGTTCGCCTGCCACGCTTTCAGCGCAAGGAACACCGCAGCAAGCTCAACACGTGCAGGATAATCTCGTTTTCCCCCACTCCCGGTGCATCCCTTTGGATTTTCGTTTTTTTTTTTTCTCGAACCATCCTCATTTTTTTCCATTTCAATACAGAATAAATATTGAGAGCGTTGAGCAGTTGTGGTTCCCATGGATAAGGTTCGACAGCAAAGGGCCTTCCTTCCCCTATCCTGAGCGTATATCTCGATTTTTTGAGGCTAGGGGAAAAAGTATCCCACGGTTCGAGTGGCAGCTGTTTGCAATTTAGGCCACAGCCCCGCTCATTTCGTTGCCTTGGTGGTGGTGGTTCCGTGTTGGTGTTGCTCTTGCTGTGCCCGTTGCCCCTTTTGACACATATTGCACTTGCTGCTGCTGTTGCTGTTGATGTTGTTGCTGCTCCTGCCGCTGCTGCCGAGTTGATTCAACTTTGGTTAATTGCTTCGCCCGCTGTTGGGTCACGCGTTGGCTTCCCAATCGCCTTCCACCTGATTGATGTTTGCTTTTGGGCCTGGAAAGCTCGGCGGTGGGCCAAACGCGTGGCGGAGAACAAGTGCTGCTCCTCTGATTGGACGTGGGTTGGTCACGTGTGTGGAGCACCGCAGCATATTTAATCCT